GTGTTTGTGCTTCTGCAAATGTGAATACAAGCAAAAAGGTGCTTATATCGTAACGTGACATGATGCACATCCAAGAACAAAAGGCAGGTATAACGGTCAAATTTAAGAAAAAGATTTTGCCATAAGTTTATTCAATTTTATAGTCTAGTTCATGTTCATAAATTAATAAAATAGAGTATGAAATATGATAAACAAGATCAACAAGGAAAGACAAAATCCCTAAAGAAAGCCCAACACGGCAAAATTGTAAATGTTGCAGGCTCGGTTTGATTGAGCTTGTTCATGGACGGTACTGGAAAGTGCAAGTTTACCGTCCACGCCCCCTAGTACCGGCTTAAGCAGAATTCAACATTTAAACACGAAAATGGTGAAATTTTGAATTTAGTAACATCCGCAGATAATCCGCAATAACCCACATGACTCACAGTTTCAGAATGTTTTTTAAAAATATTCTACGAAATGTAACTTAAACGTTCAGTTGATAAAAAGGGTGGTGCAGACTTTTTATAGTTAAGGTCGTTGTTATACTTTTTCCTAAACATTTTTTACAATCAATTATCGGTCAAAAACCATTATAGTAGTTAATCTTTATAAATACTATATATATATAACCAAGTCAGCTCAGCTCGTCAACGAAAAAAAATCACTTTATTTTTTGTAAATCTTATAATTAATGTACTGGTACACAGGTGTCTGTCTGCATTATTGAAACATACTGTTAAAGAACAAGCAAGAGGAAAACATAAAAAAGCACCCCCGCCCCCCCCCCCCCCAAAAAAAAACACACACACAAAAAACAACAACAACAACAACAGAAAAGCATTTACAGATATTACAACTATTCAACTATACATAAACAAGGTCTATTAATTGTACTCATTATTGGCTGCTTTTATATATATATATAAACTGTTATATTTGATTGATGTGTAAGGACTAGTAAGGCCTATTGTGTGACATGTATCTTTTACCAAAATGACATAAGCAATTATTGGTTTACAGAGGTCAGCTTGGGGTGGTTTCATAACACTTGGAGATGTATAGTAATGGCCAGATTTGCTTTTATTAATGGCAAAATATTACTGATAAACCTAATTATGCAATATTTATCAATTTCGGTTGTGGAATTATTCATAAGGATTACATTTTTCTGCATTTATTGTCTGACAAATTCCTATTGTTTTTCTTATAGCAGTGGAATGTTTGCTGGTTTTTGTACTTGCTGGACTTTACTATCAAACAATCTAATATAGGAACTACATATGTTTACTCCAAAGCTTTTAGAATAATGTTATTATCAGTAAAAACTTACATAACTTAGGTCAGGTTAGTTCATCGATAATCTGCTTGAGAAAATATTTTCCTCTACAGAGACAATTACATTTGTCATACAGACTGAGATGGTTTTTGCAAAACTTCACAATGATACCCATTAATGAACGTTTAGCATTAATATTGTGATTGGCTAAACAAAGATGTAGTGATGGACTGTCAGGTCTGTGTTGTTTAGATATACTGCTCAAAGTTAAATGTCTCTGTTCCTCAAAACATTGGCTTAGCCATGGTCAAATAATTGTTAAAAAAGCTTTTCGATAGTGTTCAAAAAAAAAACATGCGCTATCTTACGGTCGCTATCTTAAGTCGTTTGGTCTCGCAGGCAAAAAAAAGAAAAGAAAAAAAGCCATAGCTAGATTTTCAACTTGTCCCAAAACCTTAGATAGATCTGATCTGAGGAAATATAACATAATCTTGTGTGCAGGCACGTTTTCCGTGCGTCATCCTAAATATGGCACTGTGTTGACAGACGTTTTTGCCGTGAATCTATGTATGACATGCCGTCCTGTGAGAAAGAACGTTGTCTTATGTATATAGTCCTGTTGACGTGCCCCTGTTTTGAATACTACTGCGTAAACGTGCATTCATTGAGATAGGTCTGCCATGATTTATACTTAACCTTTTGATGTTTAAAACATGTACATATAGATTCAAACCTGTGTTAATAAAGTAAGCCCTACAAATAAAGGTCACGTTTTGATAACTTTTCAAAACAAATGAGGTAATGTTACCTACAAAAAAAAGACAACTTGTTTTTTAGACCATTAATTGTCTCTCCCTTGGGAAGCATTTAATCACAGGTTTGCCTGTATATGAAACGCACTTTGTCTATAGTATACTTTCAATCAATTAAAAAATGCCAACACAATACTTTAGAGTAAAAAGGGAGGCAACATCCTTAAACACTACAAAAACAGCACTACTTCGATGTAGGAGCTCGCAACATGATTTCTCTAATATGAAGGGTGTTCGTGTGTCGTCGTTAAATGCGTCCCGCGTAAGACAGACGTACATGTACGTAAACATTTCCAAGAAATAATTCAATACATTTGTTAAAGACTACCATTTTTTGATCAGTCGTACCATTTAAAAAATCTCTCGGTTCGATATTACAAAGTACTTATCAGATGCAACATTTTCAGAGTTTTGACCCAATGTAATTGATATTGTTTTAAAACAATCATCACTGATACAAAATTCGGACGATTTTTCAACAATATGACGTTACGATATGATGCCGTCATGAAGGAAAGGACATGTCGTTACGCAAATAATTTTAAAACGGTACCCCTGAAAAACATGAAATTAATAGAAAATTTGTTTCTTTTGTAAGTAAGAACAAATTATATTTAAGTCGTGAACACTAGCTGTTATATTTTCAAGAGGGGGTATTTCCACGCTTCTCGTTAAAATATTAGATCTGTTATTGACTCTATGAAATATATTCGATCTTACATGCAGAACAATCAGATTCCCTCTATATAACTGCATAATACGGAATGATATCAAAATGATCAAAAAGAAATCTAATTATTTCTCAATAAATGAGTGTCTGATACTTATATGATTGAGTTAAGAATATATCTAAGCATTAGTAAATTTTTGAAGAAAAAATTATATAAATTAAGAAAAAAAATAATAAAAACAACAACAAAAAAAACCGGAAATGTCGTATGCCAACAAATATTTTTTCCAAAAAAATGAAGTTGCGTTTTTTGAATTCATTAAAAAGAATGGAATAATAGTAAAAAAAGTCAATAAGTCCGCAAGTTACTTTGTGAAAGAGGGAAAACGGAAGGAAAAAACGAAACAAAGGATAATTGGCAAATGCCCATTAAATTTGTATGCAAAAGATTATATTTCACATTCTCATTCACCTATGTAGCTACTTTAGCCGGTGCTAAGGTGCGTGGACGATAGGTTGCTCTTTTCAGAACCGTCTATGAACGGGCTCAATCAAAGCGAGCCTGTTTATCTTTAGCTTTGCCGTTTTGGATCTTTAGGGATTCGGCATTTCTCTATTTGTTGATATTTTGCTTATCAATAATAGGGCGCCCTGTAAAAATGACTCCGTCAAAATGGCTAACTGCAGCATGACCTCATGATGTTCCAGGTATTTTCATAACCAAATCGAAACTGTCAAATGACGCCACAATCGTGCGTTAAAAGCACAACACAAGCGATCTCCTTAAATGAAATATCGAACGAAGTATCGCTGACTTGGGGTTAAAATGTATGCAGATATTAATGCGCTTTAAAAGACGCATTAAACTTACTTTTCTGTTGTATAACTTGCTTTTCCTAAGTTGTTTTTAAGTATTAGATCTAGTTTTTTAAAGTTTTTTTTTTCATTTGCTCTCAGCGATGCTGCACGCGATGATTTTTTTTAAATCAAATTATACCCTCCAGTTAACTGATCAGCATTTAAATATATGTCTCAAAATAATCTCAAATTCTTATGCATGACATTCTCCATTCTTATGAATAACACTTTCAATCAAAAGAAGCATAGTCAAGCATCAAGGATAGATCTAACACTATTTGATTCTTGTTTATCAATTGATTTGTTGTAATCATAGATAGGAAATGTGCTTCTAAAATACATCCTTGATAGAAAAGTCATTTATTTTCTTAGCACTTGAAGCGTGTATAATCTCCGTAGGAAAAAGTCAAGCCCTTTAAATTCTCTTTTCGTTTTTGAATATCGTGTGGATTCAGTAATAGAAAAAGCATCGCAAAAAAAGTATTTGAAATGTTCGAGGGAGTTGTATTAAATTAGAAGTCAGATAACCGATTGCCGGTTTTATATCATATCCAAAATAGAAACTTTCTCTCTGCCGCCCGGAAAATATATAGCCAATCTTTGAGCATGAAATCATTGATACTAGACAAACTTGGCAATCTGTATGTTCGCCATTTTATGTCTCGGGCCACTTGTTCGGTTCAGTAAGTGCATATAATTACGAATAATAAATGACGTATTAACTTTACAGTTGTATAATTGTTTTTGAATTTAATTCTTCTCAAAATCCCTCTTCATTTGGCAGATGTTATTGGTATTGTGTGTAAGAATTTAAATTAATGTAATATCTGCAAATGAATGAAATGATCTTTATTCTCAAATTCATTTTTCTGTTAACAACAAGAACCGTCAAGCAATGCAGTTGCCACAACAATGCATATAACAAATACCAGCACTCCATTTAACGCACTGTGCTGCATTGGTGTACGATCTCTTTGTAAACACAATTTCAAGGGAAAATATCTCATCTGTGATGCATTTGTGTATTTAACTGACGGATTATACTTGTTATACTCAGTTGTTTAGAATAACGCCAACCTTTGTCGATATTTATGAAAGAAAACTAATTTCTTCCGCCTGATCTTTATTTAATTTTCAACACTTTAGCTTCTCATTTTAAACTCTTTTGAATTATATTTAGCAACAAACTGTTTTCTTAGCCTACAATAGGAAATAAACACTAAGTTTTATATATACTTACATGTATATTAAATAGATACTTTGTATTTATTATTTTTATAAAGGAATGTCAAAACTAAAGAGAGAGCAGGATTTACGAAATAGTTTATTAACAAAACTATTTATTTTTCTTTACAATATTGCAAATATTGATAGGGATTTAAGTAAAACCATGTAATAGGAACACCGTCTGTTGTTACTTTATTGAAATATAAATATTGGAATGTATAATTTCTGCGCAGCTAATATACAAAGCTTTCTAAAATAACAACAAAAATAAAAATATGATAGTAAATAATGTTTATATTTTGTTTGGAAACAGGGCATAAAAAGAAGTTATATATTTGCTCCCTTCTTACACTGAAAACAATGCTAGTATCAATATTAATTATATGAAACTAAAGTAAAATGCCTAATTGCGAGAATAATAAATCTTTTATTATAGTGTAAACAGCTCTTTATATGCTTCGAAAATTATGATAGTGCGAACGGCGCATACACATAAACATTGCTATACATTCAAACCCTTTAAAATAGCAACCGGCACAATTTATTCTGTTTTAACAATATTAATACCCTTTAACAGTCTACAAATTGGATGTTGTCATCAGAATATTTCATGCAATATAACACTGGAAAAATGAAAACATTCAACTGCGCACAAAACTTATAACTTTTAAACATAACTAAAACTATTATTTATATTTCATTTCTTGCATTAAAATCTTTCATACATTGCAAAAAAGAGGATTAAATGCTAACTAGCAGAAGCATCTAATGTACTGAATACGTAAGCAATTTTTGCCAAATTGTTTTGTTAAAATAAAACATTCTTTAAGACTTTTAGAGAAGTTATTAATATATTTACCCATGAATCAATTTATGAATGAATAGAAGACTTTCAGACATATATAACCAAGTTCTGGATCACTGGACCTTTCCTAGCCGTACATTACGGCATTTCAAACATTACGTTTTCAAATTTATTATCTCCCGTAAAAGGCTGACCAGGCTTGTGAACCTCGTTTCTCTGCAGAATTTGTAGTTTCTTCAGTATCATCCATAATGTCGGAGACAGTATTGTCAACAGTCGCGTCATCAGAACTGCGTTTACCATAAACAGCTTGCCACATTGGTGCTCTTTTTCCGTAGAAAGCGTTCCAGCCCTGTGATCTTTTACCATAGGTTGCAGCCCAAGGTGCCCTTTTCCCGTATGTCACTGACCATGGGGCTCGTTTGCCGTACGTTACTGACCAGGGAGCACGTTTTCCATAAGTGACACCCCACGGAGATCGCTTTCCATAAGTGACACCCCACGGACCTCGCTTTCCATAAGTGACACCCCAAGGAGCTCGCTTTCCATAAGTAACACCCCATGGAGCTCGCTTTCCATAAGTGACACCCCAGGGAGCTCGCTTTCCATATGTAACACCCCAAGGAGCTCGCTTTCCATAACTAGCTGACCATCCTGGATAACGTTTCGAATATAACATATTGTCAGATTGAAGGTCTTCGGTGTCAAAATCTGTATTACCATCAAATATATCTTCAGACAAATGATTGAATCTTTTCTGATTGCTGTGTCCAGTTTCAGAACTTGACTCGATCCTATCGATATCGAATCCTGTGCCAGAATTTAAAACCTCGCTGCTTCTTTTACCATATGTAGACATCCATGGTTGCAGGCGTTTGAGATTCGCTCGTTTCACAGCATCTATGGTATCTATTTCATTATTTTGTGCTTTATTTTCAAGATAATCTATCATCCATTGTTTTGAAATTCCTTCTTCCTCTGATTCTGAATCATTTACCATATCATTTGCTATGCTGTCAAAACTATCCCTAACATCGTTGTCAAATTGGTCAGTTTTATGAATATCATAGTTTTGTTCCCCTGATCGTTTGCCGTAATACACTGACCAAGCTGGTAGTCTTTTAAAGGCAGTGTTCCTCTTTACTATTGATGTATGATGTCCTAGAGACCTTTCTGATAGTTCATCACTATTTGCATCCATCGGCGATATATTTGCTTCTTCTGAAAAGATTTGAATAATAATTTGATAAGTAAAAGCTGTTACGCAATATAGACAGTTTGATGTTACTTAAAGAGAATAAAGCTATTTTTATGAAATATTATTGTAAACATTATCAACAATAAAATATATATTGGTTCCATAACCTTATTATAGACAGATCTGTAACATAAAATGTCTTAGTTATTTAACACAAATGGATATTGTACGTAAACAGAATAAAATGTTCTGGAACAAAATATTATTCTGCTATTCAAGAGGATTTTATCCGTTTAGCAACGATATCGTGTATGCGCCATTCGCTTTTAAGGCACTTTATGACATATTTATTTAATTTTTGGAAGTATCAGTTTTGTAGCAGATATATAGCTTCATAATTATGCTTTTTATGTTTTTTATATACGTTCATATTAATTTTTTTATCCGTATAGATGCCTATTTTGTTTTCTTTTCCAATGCAAAAAAGGAAGAAAAAATATTTAGATAATAATTTACATGCAACATATTTCTACTGTAGTAAAGGGTATTTTTGCAAAATTGACTTAAATGTTTGGTAATATAAGTGAATTGCAAGCGCCTTTTGCAATAGATAAATATTAAGTTTCTTTGTTCACTTCACAATGGTTTTACTTTATTAACATTTTTACAAAATTTTCATGAAAATTAACATGAATCTGGGGGCATGCCGCTTTTTTTTCTTTTTTACTGGTCATTGTTTTGATATTTTTATTCGCGGTAAGTGTAAATTGTGTAATATTTATACAGACATTTTGATGAAAAAATTTCTACATTTTCAATAAGAGTTCAAGGTATTCTTATTTTATTTTTTAGAACGCGCTTGCTTCATTTTTATACATCTATCTGTTTTTGTCCCTTTTAAAAACTGTTCGTTCTTGTCAATTAATTATTAAACGGTACGTGTGTGAGAACATCGGCTGAACTATTTTTTCCCTATAAAAAGTATAACTGCCATCTGATCAGTAAAACATCCAACGTTCCTAATTAGGCCTTATTCAAAATATTTAATCATTGTGCATCAGGCCACGTCATGTCAATTCTACCTGTCAATAAAACTCTAGGCTAATCATTTAAAAGTTGTCTCCAATTAGTCCTATTTTCTGACAAGTTTCCGTTGCTCTGACGGTCGACGTCTAATTACAAGACTATAAGTGAATACTAAATTTGTCATGACATACGCTGACTTTTGCTACTACAGTAATTCATTCTTATTAACTTGTCGAGATAGAGTAATAATCCATAAATCCCCCTTTTTGTCCTTTTGTACATGCCATTACATTACATCTAAAAAAAGACAAGTATGAATATTTTTTAAGTTTTGGTTTATAAATTGAAGTTGTTTATGGAATGGATGGTGACTACAATGGGCATGATCTTAATCAATCAAACTATGATAATGTACAGATTCGCTGCAGATAATTGTTTCTGAAACAAATTACATATGCGAAAAACATCCATTCTGTAACGACAATATAGCAAGCAAATGTTAATAGGCAAGATTTATATGCTCATGTAATTGTATTGAATTAATCTACACTACTGGGATTTAAATTAAAAGAAAATATCCGGACTAGACTAAGCCATGTCCGCTTATTAATTGAAAGCATATACATGTAGTTAGTTAGATTATAATAACACGACCAATCTTCACATTGACATGCGTGATTTCAGAAAATTAGTATAACCTTTCAATGTACATGCATGCTTAATCATTTAGTTTTAATGTATTAATTCAGAACAGTCTCATATATCATATCGAGTCTTCAACGTGTTCAATTCTTCAATTCTGTCCTGCTTTTTTTTGCATAATAACGGTATTTTTTGGTTTTAGTTTTTTTTTGTTTGTTTGTTTTTTTGCATAATAGCGTTAAGGTGAGACTATGCCCATCAAAGTGAAAGTCAAAATAACTTTCCATTTTTCCATAATCGTTTTATGTTTTTCTTTTTATATTCAAAAATAATAAATAAACCACATAACTCAATGACATTCCTTTCAATAGCCTTCATAATTTATCGGTATCGTCCATTTTGGTAAAAAGAGTTGGGAAATCATTTTTCATACGTGTATTTAAGATAGCTTATTTTTTTCCTGAACACTTGTAATAATATCAATCATGATCATTGTTGAATTACTATTATAAAGGTCAAGCTTTTGATTTTAAAGCTGATTCAGCTCAATTGAAAAGTGAAATAATGAGCATAATGCCACTTTAAAAGTATAACTGTACATTATAATGGTTAAAAGAAAATGACAAACATTAAGTTGATCTCTTACGCATCATAAACATCCTGAAAAGGCCTTCAAGTTGTAAATTTTTTTTTTGCAACCCTTAGCCGATGTGATTTTAAGTTTGATTTTGAAAGTCTAAATTAACTTTTCTACTAGCGTTACCAAGTTATGAAATAAATTGCATAATATTTGAAAATTGTTTTTATTTTTTTTCCGGAAAGGTCTATCGGAAGGATTTTTTTATTTATTGTAATTTTATATAACAACCATTTTTACTTGTTTTAACTTCTTTTCTGGAATACCATACGTTGAATTCCTCTTAAAGTTTAATCATCATGTGTAATTTTTGTAACCAAAAAAAAAAAAAAATCCGCAATAAAACACATGTGTTTTTTGTCATAAACGTTCGTGTTTATATTCTTTTCAGTACCATCTACGTCATCTTACAAGAAATAAATCTATACCTTAATCTATTTAAAAACTAATCTAAACAAACTCTGCTGGGTTCGTACGATATAGTTTCTGTAGATGTAATTACATGTTGAGCTTTATATAAATGACGTTGAGAAATGTATTGGAGTGGTCAGCACGCGATCGTAAGGTTGATTACACGACTGGTCTTTCAAGCACCGCCAATGCCTTTTGTTACAATTCAAGAACATCAAGAAAAGCCCTCTTGTTAAGAGACTAATGTTAAAGCATTGCTTTCTCATTCATATATTCACCAACCATCTCATTTTATGATATTATATGCTTGATTATACTCCCCAAACCCATATTTAGCTTTAAGAAATGAAATGTATTTTATGTTATGGCAATCTGTATTCTTCTCCAAAAATAAGGGTTATTTTATTGTGAGAACTTTCTAGTAAATACATAGTAGTTACAGTAAGACTTCTGAATAATAACTAGTTATGCATAAGCAACGCATGAACAGAAAATCGTCGTTTGTTCATAGTTATAAGCTATACATATTTTAATTTACTAACACCACTTGATTAAAAATAACTTTCTTAATTTCATATTTGTTGTATACAAATAATTTTGTCATTATTAATACAAAACACCTGCTTGATTTAGACATGAATCAACGGGAACACACAATACCTTTTCAGTATGTAGTTGTTAGATGAAAAGTGAGCATGTGCACACAGATAGTTTCCAAAAAATGAAGGGTAGTTAACTAGCCTTTGCAATATAGCTAAATGATATATTTATAGAAAAACAGAGACAAATGCATTTTATATAAATTTTAGTTTGGTCTAAAACAATGTTTAAAACAGAGAAGTGATGAACACCTATTTTTACGACGTTTGTTTATTGGCTTATTAAAGTTTTAATATTGCAGTGGTAAGTATAAAATATATTAGTTATTATTTCAACTGTAGTTGACATAACAGTGAACTACATGTAAATTTACTATTCTTTTAATACGTAATATAAAAAGATGCAGCATTTATAAAATATTTACTGATATTCACTGTTACATCATATAAATGCAGTGACTTTCTAACTTGACCTCGACCCCCTTTTAATGGATGTAATAAATAATGAGTATTTATAAGAAGTAACCGGAATGGCGTCATTTTCAAACACGCCACAATAAACGCGCGCGTTTACCAAGCACCGGTGGTGTTGACAAATACTGTATGTTAAACATATTTATTTATTTTTTGTTTGAAATTGGTAAAACAAAACCGGAAGAAATGCTTTTACTTGAAATAAAACCGATATTGTCTTAATGTTTCTTCCATGTTTTACATCTTTGAAAAAAGGGTGCTAAATGTTGCAGACGGCAAATTAGGCAATCTCCACTGGAAAGGTAGCATTAGCTTTCTCCCTTACAGTCTTTTAGCGGTCATTGTGGAATTGCAAAAGAATTGTGTTAATTTCTTAGTTAACACCTCTTTGTTTTTTCTACGCAACGGTTTTCATGATATATGTTTGGAACAAATTAACACTTTAAACCAGTATAAATTAGCCACAAAACTCGACTCAGACCGATGTTATTTCTTAAATGAAACACTGAGAGATGGATGTCGACTTAAACTACTAGGATAGTAAGCTAATAAGCCTTTAATAACGTTGTCAATAGATTTGTCAAACCGACAATTATTACACATATTATTGACAGCTGTACTTTACATTGTCTAACAATGAACTCAAATAACTCATAGTCAGTGGGTTTTTTATTAAGTAAAGATATTCTGATATTTTTAAAATTTGCAACAATCTTGTCTAGTTTTATTGACATTCGTGATGAAACCATCCTAATGAAATACTTGTACCCTCACATATCAAGATTGTTTGCAACGATATGTCTTTTAGCAGGCAAATGCTTTGATTTACGACTCTATTAATTGAACATTCAACAAAATTATCAATACACAAATGTCATATCTGTTTCCTATTTGACAATTTTATTGAGGAGGTGAGATGATCTATTGAGTGTGATATAGTACAGCGGAAAAAGGTCTTAAAGATGTACATCATAGTCAATAACGTAATATGTTTAGATAAAAAAATGTTTCTTACGTTGATATTAATATATTCAAAAATAGCTCAACTTGATACAAACTTGGTCACACAACACGGATTTAAAGCTCAATTAATCATTATTCCCTACTCTGATGGCGTCAACAGATTATACTAATGCGACTTGTGCAGACCAAAATCTGCCCGCATTTCCACGATTCGCGTTTTCTTATCATGGTCTATACTGTCGGCTATTCAATCAGTATTTAGTTTGAAGTT